ATTGTTATCCTTAGTTGTTTTGTCTCAGCACCTTTTGCAAACGACATGTTTAAGATTTTTCATTTATTTTCTCATCAACAACAGATGGTAAAGGTTTTGTGATCTCACATAACAAACTTGTTTTTTGAGATAACAAAAACCTTTCTTATTTTGCCTTTATTAAACAGGGGAAAAAACAAGTAATGGGATGATGATTACAGAAGTTTTTGTTGTTGTTATGCTTAAACTCACAGAATAATTACTTTGTAAGAAGGAGAAAATGAAACTTGAGAAATAAATTACACAGATGTCCTTTTGGTAACACAACACCACCCTGGGATTCCTCCATGAACAGGCCTGCTTTTAATGATGTCTTGAGAGTTTTTCAGCCTTCACTGCTGCTGCTGCTGGGTCACTGTCTTTCTGTGATGTCTTTTTTTACAGGATTATTGTGATTTGTTTGCTTGTTTGTGCTCCATTCACTATTACATTTGTTTGTTTGTTTTATAGTTATATCTTGGTTATATTGCTCGTTTTCAATAACATTTTGATGACAGTGATAACAGGTCAAACTTTAACTTTAATAGCTGAGGAGTTGGACAAAATAACAGGAACATGTTACAATATAATGCAAGTTAAAAACACTAAAACCTTCACAGAGCTCCCATTTATTGCAGAGATACTATTGTACACTGGATTGCAATATACTGTGAGGTGTCCCAGATATTTTGCCTGGCACATGTTTATCACGCTGTACTTTGTCTATTTGTGTTGGGAAGTCTTTTTCTGATCGAGGTATCAGTTGAATCAGGATCCAAATAAAGCATGGCGGTTAAAGAATAATTTGTGTCTCTTTTATTTCACAGCACGGCACGAAGCACCGCAGGCAGAGTTAAATCATGCTGCCCTGCTGTTTTATTGTAGCTAACTCATGTTGATAATGATTTGATAACACGACACTACAGACAATTACACGCACAGGGATGTCGGCAGGGAATGCAACGTCTGGAATATCAACAACTCCTCCCCGCTGCCAAATGCATAATCAAGTTGTTTTGGTATCTCCAGCTATCTAAAGCAGCCATCTTTCAGCTATCCTAAGCAGCTATCTTATGTCTCTGTCCCCTCCAACATCAGACAGGGACAGAACAGTGAGAGGCAGACAACACTGGATACACTGATAGTGCAGGGGTCTTGTTTTCCCATGTACGTTGCCAGGATGTGATGTATAAATAGGCACCGAGCTGTTTGTGTGTGAGTGCAGGCTTAAGTTATGTGGCTATAGCTTGATAGGGGCTGTACGTGGCTGCGAGGCCGCGGCGGGGCGGGCAACTATGGTGGGTCTGACTGTCGGTGTCTTCTCATGTCCTGAGATCTGAGAGGCCTCTCCCAAGAGGTGGTGACGGGCGGCAGAAGGGCACGGATTCAGAGTATTTTGGTGTTAATTGAGCTTATTGGTCTGCTATTCACAGCCTTGACATGTGATTGATTTAAAGGCTAGTGTGAGACTGCGACGGGGCTGACCTCTCTGGTGGCGGCTCCTTAGATATGGCCTCAGGACCGCACAGCTGTGAGGTGTAATCCTCTCCCATCTTTTTTTTTTTTTTTCAAAGAAGAGCGAGCAATCCGCCCTCCTTCAGTATTTTATGAGTTTTCCGACTGTACGGTGATGAAGGAGGAGAAGGGAAAGAGAGGAGGGAGAAATGTGAGGGCCTGGCAGGGGGCTGGGACTTGCACCTGCGCACCAAGGAGGGTTTTCCAGACTGGTGCACTCGTTAGACCAACAGCTATTAAACATTAGCCTGTTTATTCTGTTTACAATGAAAAGGGTCTATAAGTAGTGGGCTAATTACACCAATTAAACATTGTTCAATGGCACACTGATCAAACAAATCCAAACAAAACGGTTGCCTTCGAAACTGACCTCAAAAAGGAAAGTGAAGAGGATATCCGCTGTACCGTAGAGACACTCCTTGTGTTCTTGTGTTTAAAAGTGGCAAGACGTCTTCAGACTCGCAAGAAACATCAGAAGGAAATCTGGAGCAAGCAGAGTGGTTATTAAGAAGACAACAGAAGGGAGCTTTTTATCTGGAAAATGAGGACAGATCTGGTTTAGTAGACTTCTCTAGCGCTCTAGCTCGGGCTGTTGGGAACATAACTTGTGATTAATCTTCATGTAAAATAATTTTCACCTCACTCGACACGATAACGAAAACAAATACATAACTGGTGAAGGGAGTTTACTGCCAGTACTGGGCATGTGCAAGCTGCATTGCTACGCCTACACATACTGTGTATAAAGAATGGCTAACTGACCACCAAACACGGAAAACAGAGACTGAACATGTCGAATCTGACCAAACATCTCCAAACTATTCCAAACAAGGACAGACAGCGTAGCACACCAAATAAACATCTGTGTTTGAGTGCATTGCCCTTTAGACTGGATTTTCTCCTGTGATTTTGGTTTCCATTTTTTCGTAATCTGATTTTGTCAAAAACAACAATGCAAAGTATTTTCATGCTCTCTGTGTTTATGTGCAAAGATTTGAAAACATTGAAGGAATAGACTGACATTTTGGGAAATATGCTTATTCACATTCGTGCCGAGAGTGAATATGAAGATTGATATAACTCAATAAATACGCAGCTACGCCAGCTTAGTTTAGCATAAAGACAGAGGGAAACAGCTACTGTGGCTCTGTCCAAAGGCAACAAAATCCACCTATAAGCTCCTGTGAATTAAATGAATAAAATTACATTATCATGTTATTTTTTATTGGTTTAATACAAAAACTGAAGTGAAGAAAAGACAAGGGGTTTCACAGCCAAGCAATTTGACGCATTACCTCCCATAAGCTTCATATTTAACGTACAGTTATAAGAGTGGTATCAATCTCCCAAATTTTTACCAAGTAGTTGAACTAAAATTATGTTTTATGTTAAAGGGATACATTTGGGAATTTGGATAAAAAGTGTATTCACTTTCTTGCAGAGAGTTCGATGCTAAATATGAAGCTGGAGCCAGTAGCTAGTTAGCTTAGCTTAGAAGCAGGAGGAAACACCCACCCTGGCTCTGTGCAAAGCTAAAACAACAAAACAAACAAACAAGATACAACATGTTTTTTAGTGGGCTTTAGGGGTGCTAGTAGGAAGATTTTGTTACCTTTAGACCGAGACAGGCTAGTTGATATGTTAAGCTAAGGTAACCAGCTGCTGGCTTTAGCCTTTACGGATGTTTACAGTATCAGAGTGGTATGAATCTTAAGAATCTCGTCCCACTTCTGGCAAGAAAGTTGAAAATATGGTTGGTATTTCAACTATTCCTTAGGTACAGCCTAGCCTAGCTGCCCTCTGTCTAACAGTCCACAGTGTCTACCAGCATCCTTAAAGTTCACTAATAAACATATTGTAGCTCAAGGAGGTTTATATCTCAGTACTTTTGGACAGAGCGAGGCTGTTCCAGTTGCTAAGCTAACCTGCTGCCGTCTCCAGCTCCAAATTCATACAGTCAAAAGATGGAATCAATCTTCTCATCTAACTCTCAGCCAAAATGTTGGAACTGAATCTCAAAAGTCCAAATAATTCAGTATTTCAAATCTGAAGAGAGGAGAAGATTTACTGAGCATATTTGAAATTCAAGTAAACCTTTCTGTAAGTAGTTTCTAAAGATGATTGACAGGCCTTGGCAAAATAAACAGCAACTGCAAGTGTTATTTCAAGTCAGATATGCTACTTGTTCCTTTAACCTTGCTCACTCCACTACCCCCCTCAGTCCATTTTTAGTCCTTCCAAGCCAGCCTGGCTGGCAGTCTAAAGTCATTCACTAGCTGCACTCCGACCCCTAGTGAAATACAATCAATACCAGCACTTACCAGTGCACGACGCCTGCGGAGAATTCATTTTCTGGGAAAGAAGAATAAAACAGCTTCTCCAGTTATACAACCTTGGCAAACAGGCTTTGTTTCTTCTCATATCCTCCCACAGAAATTCTAACAATTGAAATAACAAAATATCATTGTTTAGGCTTCCCTTCCCTAAAAACTTTATCTTTAAATATTTCTAAATCCTCTGACCCCACTTTCCCTCTGCGCAAAGCCTCAGCCATTCAAAACACCCCCCACCCCTCTCCACTACGGCTGCATGACCGCGCAGTAGTATTGCTTTCAACTGCATTGCTCCCCAAGGACATCCAAGAGTGGACCTGAGTGTGCCCAGAAACTTCAGCCTTTAAAAACAAAGCAGAGTCATTTAACTGTTGCAAACTGAGCCATTCAGTTAGCCTTCCAGTGCAAACACCCACATATTGCATGCATGACATACATAAACACACATACATCATTAGTCTGTGTCTTTTTTCTTTACGTGGTTGAAGGGGTTGAAGATTATAATCCGTATTTACTGAACTCTTTGTTTTGACCTCTTTATTCTTCTCTCACACAGACGTTTAGGACACTGTTGATACTTTAATAAAGCCATCTCACAGAAACTAAGAGCTCATTTATTTTAGAAAATCCTTCAAAAATGTGTTGCTCTTGTTGGCACCTCACATTCAGGACATATTTACAGAAAGAGTCCAGCAGAGCCAGAGAGAGTGTTGACATTCGGACTTCATGATCTCTAAAAAGTATGGATAAACATCCTGAAGTTGACACATGAAAATTAAATATGGTTAGTTTACGTATGACTTAGGCGCTGTGAGAAAATTTCATCACTAAACCTGGCATTTTTCTTCCCGTTGAGGACACTTCAGTGCTGTTGTAAACATCTGTAACTCTATTTTTGTGTTTCTGTTTGTTATTTTTAAGTTGATTCAGCTGCAGGACGGACTAAAACCCCTATAGACCTCTTTCCCACAGGAGCCATTTTGAATTTATGTCACCGTCTGAGTGGGACAGTTCAGAGTAAGGCCAGCTGTTGTGTACTTGTGTTTAACTCATTTCTAGACAGACTATTATTATTCTCTTGTATCAGACTTATTTATCTATAGTGATAATGTTTTGAATGTATGTAAATAAGAGGAAGATTTTGCCAAATAGGGTTGCAACTTGAAGTCCAGGTGAAATTGAAATCAGCTATTTGCTTCCGCATATTTACATATTTCCTGTGGCAGCTAGGGAGGGACTTGTCGTGGTAGCCAATAGCGTTGTGCGTTACATCCTCAGTCTGTCTCGGAAGTTGTGTTGAAGTTGTGAAGACTGAACATTTAATTTATTTCAACACAGTGTAACATCACACAAGTCTTCAAAACACGAAATAAATAACTTCCAACTTCACTTAAACAAATAGTGGCAGACTTATCAACACAATGGATGATGTAAAACAATAACAGTTATGTCCTGGTCGAACCACTGTAATTCACCAGGCCTCGGTCCGTCTCGGAGGCTGTGAACCCAGTTCGTTGCCCATTCGCCTGGCTCTGGTGCTCATTCTCCTATACTATCTCCTAGTAGTGTAAACAAACCTCCCCCAGTCCTTTGAGCTCCCAGGCCGGGTAGAGTCTGCTAATAGGACTGCTTAGTAGCTAATGGCAGCTAGCTACAGCTGGCACATGCAGCAGTCCTGTGTTACAAGAGCAAAAGTCCGTGTTGCAATAATCTGATACTTTTGTCCTGGTCACAAAGCGCAGCGTACATGCAGAGTTTGATAATGTTGTTGTTTTTTCTGCAGTTTAGTGGGGCAGCACTAGATAAGACTGTTTCTGAAGTACTGTGCAACCCCCCTCACTCTGAACAGGATACTGTAAAGAAAATCCTATTTATATGAACCATCATCTGGCAACTTGTTGAAGCCTTTTTAGCAACAAGTAGCCACTGTCCTTGAAAGAGAGCTGGCAACACTGTTAAAATGTTGCCTGTAGCCAGCTGTTGACAAAGACATATATGTACTATATGCACTAGTTTTATAAATATAACAGTGTAGGATGGATGTTAAGTTCGAAACAGCAGTGACTGTGTACTAATTCTATAACATGTTTACACTATAAAGTACACACTGTATATGTAGGTTGACACAGCGCTGTGAGCCGATACAAGAACAAGAAGTTAGTGAACTAAACTGATGTTTTAAGATCAAGAAAATTGACCAAATAACATGATTGTATGAAACATAATTCACAAATAGCTACCAAAAAAGAAGAAGGATTTGTTGCTTTAATTTCTGTGTTTTGAGCTGTTATTTAGCCATCATGCTACCACAGTTATTCCACCTTTTTTCCAGCTGTGAGTAGCTCCTTCATTTCCGCTGTGTATTGCGCTGTGGGACCATCAACAGCACAATCATAAATCAAGTGATTATCCATGCTGGCATTTTTATGTGTACTTTGTAATTTTTCAAGTGCAGACATACCACCAAAAAGAGTTAGGAGCTCGGAGACATTTATATCCACAGTTATAATCAGTTTGCAAACACATTTCAAAAGAGCCTGGGTCATTTTGAAACTCAACACTCAAAACTCAAAATTATCCGCTCGTTTGACTCCAGTAATGCTGACATTTTGAGGATATGACAGCCGCGTCATTCTTGCTATACCTGCCACAGGCTGTAAAGGACATTATCTCATTTCAAAACACTGGAGGATGAGGAACACAGATGGACGGAGGTGATGAATCAGGCCCATTCACTCAGTCACTTAATAGCACTACATAAAATTGCGTAACAGTGAAACTGAGACATTTTGTGCACACTGTCCTCTCATTACAGCAAATAACTATTTCAAATTGCGGATTTGGAAAGAAGTGAACAATGTCACTTAAAGGAACATCATAACTCTCTAGCCGTGATTAGAAAACAAGAAAACTACAAACTGCTGCTAGCTTTCACTCGTCTCCGATGTCTACTCGTTCTCCTAGCACTACATAAATTACTACACAATATGAACAAAGAGATAATTACATGATCCAAGCCTCAACAATTTGCCATTATACTCCCATTCAAAGGCAGTGCACTGGTCCAGATGTATTGCTTTAAGTGTGAGGTGTCTCTTATTACACCCATAACAATCTCAGACAGGATAGTAATGTCATGCCGGGCTGTGGCAAGGCTCTCCCATTGTTCTCGACGGGATGTTTATAGCTTTGTGCCTGATATATGATAACCAATAAGTAAGAGGTAGTAATTACAAGGCCCACACTCCACCAGATCGCCTGATGAATGCGTGAAATAAAAGATGGGGGGTTCTTTGTGGAGGCTGGTTATTACAAAGACATACAGAGACTTGACACACGGCAGTATTATAAGCAGGAGAGCGCTAGCAGGGGGAGAAATAAATAGTATATATCCATTTCCTCTACCAAATGGCAAAGCAAATAGTATTGACCTTCTTAAAACAAATCTGCTGCAAGCCAGTGATTGTCCAAATCAAAATACTCAGTTGCACATATTTCTAGTATTTCCCCACTCTCCGTTCAGGTCAAGAAGAAATAACACAATTAGGTGAAATAAAAACACACAAAGAAAGCACAATAGTATCCTATTGTAGGGCCCAGGACACAGAGCAGCGTTGTGGTCAGACCGTGTGTCTCCTAAACTGATCAGCAGAGATTCAAAAGCCACCCAAACTGGATGTACCCAGTCATAAGCACTGCTGGTGGTACTTTCAAATTGACCGTGCAGATATTAAAGTGGTCTTCTCATCTAACTGTCAGCAAGCAAAGCGAATAGAATTCAAGAAGTCAAAATATTTCTTTAAAGGTCCAGTGTGTCACATTTAAGAGGATCTATTGATGAAATGAATAATGCCCAACGAGGTGTCTGTTGTCAGGAACAATCCAACGCACAGTGAAAGGTTGGTTGCCTCCACAAAGTCCATTAATTCCTCATAATGGACACCTTGAAGGGCATTATCCCGCTTATACCATGGTCACTTCTTTATTTTATATTTTCATGCGTTTTGCTTATTACAAGCTATAACTCTGTTTCCATGGTAACACCTTAGGTCCTTCATATTACCTGGAAGAATCATTACCATCCGATAAGCGATAATGCAATGGAAACGTTGTTCACTAGTCCAGTAAATAGGATAAACCACGATACGACACAGCAACAGGAGATATTTCTAGTTCCTTCCACTTATAGAGCGCTTCGGTTCAGCTACAATACAGAGAGCTAACGCTATGCTAGC